AGAGTCTGCGAGAGTAATTACTGATTTTAATGAGCTTCTCGTAAATATGCTATACAGAAGACTAAGCCTTTCCTTTGAGAACTTAAGACATATTCCCTCCTTCATTCTCATCCTCAACGTGTTGCCTCTAAGCAAGCTAAGACATCCTCATTCTTTCCTCTATAACAAATGTATCGAGATGTGAATGCGATATTATCTTCCTCTCGACCTAATGCAGTTGGGAACTAGTATTCCCAAAAGAAGCGGGACTGAGCGAAAAAATGGCCGATACATCCGTTAGAGTTTCTTGCATCAAACCCTTATCGAGGTAACGGAGTACCTTATTCAGGACATTAAGTACATTAGAAAAGTCGATTTCTGTGGGGCAATAAGAATGGAAATTTAATGTATAAATTCAATTTGATGTATAAATTTCACTCCATCATGACTTTATAAATATCGCACTACTTATTAATATCTCCTATTATGGGAACAATTATTCTCTTGCCGGATGTTATTCGCATTTGACGTGACTTTTACGTGGCAAAGTTTGAGTTAGATACCGAACTAGTTTTCGTTGCTCGTATACTCCGGTATCATAGAACTTAACAAGTCCTTGTCTACATGAGCTCGCCTACATGCGTATAAAGGTATTGCGTGCATGCGTGCATGCGTTATGAACAAACAATGCAGCGCAGCTACGACGTTATTAATTAGGTTAGTGGAATGAGGAGAAACGCTGAGTTTTTTATCAAACATATATTCACGGAAAAAAAACATACATGAATTTTAAATAAATTTTATAAATATTAATAAACAAATGTAAATATATATGCAAGTTTCATTTTTCTATATTATAATAATCAAAAATAAAATTTTCCTGCATACACATTTATCAATTGATATATTACAGAAGACTTGACTAGATTTTTCACAATTGTAAAGTTAAACATGAAACGAATATGTACAGGTGTATAAATACATAATTATATAAATCCAGCCTAATACGCGCATAATATAATGTTAATTGTATTCACAAGTGACAATTCTATGCAATATGCGCTATAAATAGCGCTCACAACATATCGCATCAATAATTCTGATTAATTGTGTAACAAGTTAAATAGTGTACGATATTATTATATCGTAAAACAGCGAAACAACAATAGTGCTGTATTAAAATATCATTATTTGCGGAAGTAATCCCTCGAGTATTATAAGACTTAATGGCCGATTATCTCTCCATTAACATACACGTGGCTACAAATTGTATGCGCACAAAGCATGTATACGCCGCTAATTACTCCGAATTAAGGCGCATTCGTGACAGGGAAGGAAGCAGCTTGATTCTCACCAAAGTAACGAAATAGTAGTAGCGTATAACGCGATCACCGGTCTTTTTTCTTTTGCCTTCCCTCTTTGGCGCCGCGGCGCATAGTGATCGATATAGGAAATTAGGTGGCCAGAATACAACGTTGGAAATTAAGTCCAAATCTCAGGAGTAATCTGAATGAACCCACGTAATTATCTCTAGATAATAGCAATGGTCAACCGCGATAGGGTTCGTCTTCTAAAATCCTTCTATAAAAATGATAATCTCATAAAGAGAGAGAGTTTGATCTATCTTTTTAAACTAAAACTATCACTGATGAAAAGAGTAATAATAAGATTTCACCAAAAATCAGTGAGTATATTTCACTGATTTTCACTGATTTTCAGTGAAAATACCGACACTTTGCTCCTCCATCTCATGTTTCACTGATTATGGCAGTAAGAAACGTCGAATTAACCACGAATACTAAGTAATTGATTTTTCTCAATGGGCTTTTACTGTTTACAGTGCTATAACTAAACGCACTACTTGTCAGTGATAATACACTGATTCCATTTATAAGATTAAAATAATGATATTACTTAAAATAAATTATTATTTTTTATTAGAGCGAGATTTTATTAGAACGGATGAAGCGAACTGTTATGAATGAAATGTAATGTGCGACGATCGTAGCTCCAAGTATAATCGGTGCAAATGAACTAGCTCTACGTTTTAATTCAAAAGACGAGACGTGCTCTTCCTTTACGAAATAGAACTTATACCTGGCACGGTTACGTAGTTCCGTAGCAATTTCATAAACGCCCGCACTTCAGTTTTATATACGTCATAAACGTAACGTCTCGTTTCGCGAAATCTTCTTGAATAAAGGAAATGGATGTTCGAAATAAAGATCGAACTTACCAGGAAGATTATTTATCCCAACAATCCTTATTTACTTGCACAGACTGCAATATACATATACATATATAATATATTATAATATATTGTATCAATTATATATATATACATATATTGATTGATTTTATTTATATATATATATATATATATATATATAATATATATATATATATATATATAATTATATATATATAAAATATAATAATTTTATATATATATATATATAAATATAAATAATAATAATTTTATATATATATATATAATTTTATACATATATGTATATTTTGTGTTTCTAGAATTTACACTAGTCACTATGACTAGATATTGGATTGCCTTCTTCCTAAATTCATTTAGGCAAATCCCTGGAAAGCATTGGTAAATAGTTCCGCTGCAACTTAGAAAGGTAAAGAGGAAGTTGTTACGAAACGTAAATGCGCATGCAAGTGCAAAAGACACCTGTTTACTCGTATATGACTTTTTTGATGGAACCCATTTCGTTTACCGTCTCTATATCCGAAATATCGTTTCTTCTTCGAACATGCAAGCTATAAATGATTTTCTGTAATGTATTCATTCGAAAAAAATAACTTTTCGCATTACAATTGTTTACTTGGCATTTTAGATGTTTATTCATACATATTTGCAAAGTATACAATATATACTTGCATTTATATAAAGTTATAAAGAAAAAAGACATAAGATAAAAAATATATTATTTATGGTACATTTTTAATATGTAATATGTTTCATAATGGCTTTTAATGTTAAATATTTATCATATCCCAATTCAATTTTGTTTTTGAAACTGATACATCTGCAGCGTTCTCTCCATTGTTCTTTGATCCATAACTTGACTTAATTACCGTTTCACTGCGTTACCCATTTCATCTACTTCCTTTTCCACCTTTGAACGTATACACATTCATCTCAATGGAGTGCTCAAAAATAACAGTGAAATGAAACCATAATAGTGTCCTTTAAGATGCAATTCAACACGTGATAAAAAGCTGTTATTACAACAAAGTACGGAAAATAAATTCTCCTCTTTTACTGCGAAAAGTACAATATATAATAGAAATTTTTCAAGCATGTGAGAGAACATAAACTCTGATCTTAACTTATAAATCATAATATATATCTACATACAGGTCATCATTTTTTACAACTTTGCAATATTTGTCATTATGTATCTTTATAACTAAGCCTCAAATTAAAATTTTATTATAGTAAACTCTACCTGAAATTAACTGAAGAATGTAATTCTGTTAGACTTTTAACTCCAAAACGTTTAGTTTTCAAAAAACCCATTTTTTTCAATCGCTTATAACTCGAAAATTATTGACTTCTCAACATTTTTGCTAAGGAAAAATCGTCTCCAAATTGGCCAAAGAATCCACTTGTAATCGTTGGTCCGTTAGTTACCGGACACCCTGTATATCATATATCCTCGTATAAAAATAAGATTTTAAAGTCGTATACAATAACTCTCGGGATTTTATAAAAATGATGAAATAAAAAAAATGAGAGATTAACATGCAATTTATCGCGTTTCTGGGATGACGACAATTGTTCGTAGCACGATCCTGTTATAAATCTCTTTCGACAAATCGCCGAACACGAAACGTGCATTATCATTTCTTCCGAATTGAATACGCGCAAACGATGTCGCAGTTAATCACGCCTTAACACCAGTGACAAATAATTGCAATCCTTTGATTGCTCGAGACGGCTCGGTATATCAACCGTTCGAATGTATGCTCGCGTGAGAAGCGGAATCCTTGAATAACCGCGCGAGTGATATTAGGGGAAAGGGACGACGCTTAAGCGACGGTCGTAAACGTGTATCTATCTTCGTCCGCCCATCCCTATTTCCACCCCTCGTAGGAATAAATCCACGTCCGTCTAGCTGCGAACTAGCAGAAACAAACGCGTGATAAATGCATTTGGGGGAGAGAACAGGATTCACACGCGGCTCGAAAACGAGCAATGTGTTATATATGTAAGTATGTGTATATATATGAAAATGTTGACTGCACGTCAGTTGATAAAGACGTGTTTAGTAATTTAACTCAAATGTGTTAATTATAAACTGTAAATGACATAAGTTTTGTTATTTTTCTGTTGACATCGCATCGCAATTTTGATATATTAATGAAGCGAACAAAAGAAAATATGATAAAATAATCCCTCCAAGTTTAATGCATATTGATTTTAAAAATGTATAACAAAAATGTATGTGAAATACATAAGTACTTTTTTTTGCATTTTTTAATATTGTAAAAATTAATTACGTAATCGATGAAAGAGAAGAGGGAGTTTAATTGTAAGAGAATTTGAAATATTTAATTAAATCATTAATTCAGAATTTTTTTGTCAAGCACGCTCTCGTATATTCAAAGTATTGTCGCTCGCTTTCAACACCGGTAATGCGATAAAAGAGTTTAAAAAAACGCGCGTCTAATTTGCATAGACTTTATTTTTATCTTTTTTTGCTTTTTACATTTGCTGCTTCCTACAATCTAGTTCCCGTAATACGGGTGAAACGAGAGAAAGAAGACGGGAAAAGCTCCGCTTGGGCGTTCGGGACATGTCTTTGTTCTCGTTTTTACGCAAAGATACATTTGTTAAGCGGTACTTATTGTTTGTGGACGCGTAAATTGTAAAATCGTAAATACAATCTCTACAGAATCGTTCAAGAGAAAGATTCAAATAGAATTGGTTTGCGTATAATAAAAAAATTATAATATAAAAATATTATGAATTAATTCTAAGTTACACAGACAAAACATTATAATTATATAGATATCTGCTAAAATAGCTAAAAAAAAAAAAGTAAGAGCATAATAAAATTGAACGATAAAATGATAGGAGAAACGCTATAAGTACCACGACATAGATACAATTCTAATGAAATATCGTAAATATCTCGAGCAGGAATCTCGATTTCGCGAGATCACGCGCAGGCAATTACTTTCACGTACAAGATTGTGCATTCTTGGGTTTGAGAAAAGGTCCTCTCCGGATAATATCTTGCATCACCGAGATATGAATATAACGCTTTCCCAGACCTCCGGTCTTTTTCATTCGCTCCCGTCCTCCGTCATTCCGGCATTCATCGTCCGAGGATACAGACTAGATGGAACCATGTCTCTTGCAGCCCTTCTCACGATCTCCTACGGATATTGCAGAATCGCGGTGGAATGCGGCGGAGAGATGCACGAGATCGTCGCGAATCGGTCGGTCGGTCATTAGATTCAGGCGAAGGTGAGGGTGTTGCCCATGCTTCCGGATCGCATTCGCGGCATCACCGTATCCGTGTGACGGATGGTGATCTGCGCGACCGCCATATTACCGGTGAGGAATTGGGCCAGAGTCTCCACGCCAGATCGGGCTCTGCGATCGAACGGATAGCCCATGGGTCGAGCGTCCGGATACTTGCGGTCCCGCAGACCGCAGTAGCTCACCGCATCCTTGCATCCAGGCGATTCATCCTGCTCCACCTGTATACGCGCGTCACCGCGGGACGGTAAAGCAATTCGTTTAGCGCGTGTCGGTCGTGTGCGGTTCTCTTTTTGCTCCTTCCTTTCTTTTTCTCTCTTTTTTCGTTCATAAAAGCGGAGTAACGCGGAGTCTTCCCGGAACGTTAAAAAGAAGAGAGAAAAAGATATGAAGGAAGGTTGGAGGGTTTTCATCACCTGACATATACTGTAAGCTCTTAAGCGCCATAAGAGCCTAATAAGGATAAAAAGTACTCACCGCGTCAGCGGTGTAATCGGATATCATGATGAAGAGATCCATCGGGAATCCTTCCTCTTTTCCCTTAGGTACGAGCATGTGCTGCGGCCAACCGCATCCGCAAAAGTTGAACTGATCCACGGCCTGGCTATCGCCACCGATCGGTCTGTTCTCTTCCAGACTGCGGAACGTCCTTTCAAACGGTATAGTTACCGAGGATTCCGTTGATTTGCGCTCGATAGTATTCTGTCCTGGTCTCACTAAAGCCGCGAGCAAACGACAACATTTTTTTATCCAATGCAAGTAGTATTAAACATCGCTTGCTCGAGCAATCAAACATTCCCTTCAAGTTAATCAAATATATTCATATTCTGGAAGAGTTTATATGTGCAAAAGAGTAGATTAATATAACAGAAATTGTTTATTTTAAATATTTTTATATTTTCATTATATTAAGTGAAAAAATGAAAACGTTCGGAGCCCTATTACAATTTCTAAAAATAATAGAGCGAATATATTTTTACTCTCTATAAAAATAGCGACGGAATTAGCAATGGAATAAGCGACTTACGTAATACGGTGAACTTATCCATTTCAATCATGAGCTCCTTTTGATCCCTGAAGACGTAGGGCAGTCCACGTTCGTCCTGCCTCGGCGCCATAAATATACGGACGGTTCCTCGACGCGGCGCATTATTGCTATTGTTGGCGACGATTCTGTATATATAGTCGGCATGATTCAGATGAGTGAATCTGGCGAGAATCGGACCGCGTGGCGTGAAGTCGAGACCGCGAGATAGATCGACGTCGCTCTTGTTCCAGAAAGTGGCGAGCAAGTTCGACGGTTGATTCGGAGTTTGCACTCCTATATCCCTGATTTCCACGCCGGGAAAGTCCAGCTAAAAATTCGCACGAGCGAATGAGAAAAAAAGCAATTAAATTTCCCGGCGTTAATGCCGTGTATAAAGAGTCTCGTAATTATTTCTCTTCAGTCAAATTCCAAGACAGGATTTAGAGTTGGCTCTTTTTCGAAATAAAACGTAAATTGAAGCTTAATTAAGAAGAATTCCATGTTAAAAATAAAGATACTTTGACATGTAAAGATTTAAGAATATAAAAAGAAAATAAAATTAATTATCGCGTGATTAATTCCAAATTCTATTTCTATGTCTTAAGGGGTTAGGCCACTGTAGAGCGCCCAAAAAAGGCCTATTTTTGATAATTTTTACTATAAAACAAAAACAGTGATAGAAAATCCTTTTTAAGTACTTAATCTTACATACTTCGAAATATATAAAAATTTTTTTGCATTTTTACAAAATGGCGGTGACAGAGCTCTGCAACAATGACCACTCGTTTCGGACAGTGCCTTACGGGCGACCTACTAGCTGCTCCAATTTTTGCTGTAGAACAAAAACCAAATTTTTTTAATTCTTTATATCATTAGCTAGCGAACTACGTACGGAAATTAAAAAATAATTGTTTTTGTAAAAATGACACAAGTTTGAAGAAAAAGTTTCATTTTTGACGAAAAATTTTGCACAAAATTGTTTGTAAAAAGTTTACAACGGAACGTAAAATCCGTACGTAGTTCGCTGACAAATGTATCTTAGAAGCTACAGTTTAAATTTGAAGTAAATCGGTCAAGATTTGTGGGAGTTATGAGGTCGCCCAGTTTGAAAAAGTGATTTCGAGAAAACGCGTTTAAAGTTTTATGTAACTTCCAAAATGACACTTAGGAATTTGTTTCCGTTATAAAACCTTTTTCTTATTTCTAAGATCTTAAAGCATCATTTAAGCAAAAACGATTTTTGAAATTTCTACAGTGGCCTAACCCTTAAAGAGAATTAAAAACTTGAAGATTGTGTTAATGAGATTAAATTACGTCCGATTGAATTACGTCAGTTAAATATGTACTAAGAGTTGAATTTTCCAAGGTTTTTATAAAGATAGTTTCAGAGGTATTTTATATTATAATATTATTATTCACGACCAAAAAGCATATTCTACATTATTATATTATTATTCACGAAAACAAAATTGGGATATTATATTTCATGATTATATTTATTTTTATTTTTATTATTCTATTGAGATATTTATTATCGGTTTAGTATTTAACGAAATTACCGTCACGCTGGCAAAAAGATAAATTGTGTCGACCTGTCCGGTGGTCTTGTTAAATTAAATAGTTCCACGGGCGTTTTTGTCATCTAGTGGCTTCGCGTAATTCGGGGCCACATGGTACATGTACTTAGCGGCATTATATACTAGGGTGAACTGATGATATATCGCGAAAACGAGACAGTTGTGCACACCCACCTGCTGTAGGCTGTACTCGGGAAGTGTATTCTTATGCTCCAGGAATACATCGTCGACGAAAGCGTGGAATCTGTAGAAGATGGGATCTCTCATAGCGGTAGCCGGTTCTCCCATGATGCTGAAAGTTTCCTAAAGAGATACACAGGAAGAAAAAAAAATGCTTCGTTTATCATTTCAATAGCATGATTATTCGCATCAATTCTCAACGCGAAAAGGGATGCAATTTTTTTCTCGACCCGAGATATTCTATATGTTAAAAAATTCGAGGAACAAAACGAATGTCTCAACAATTAACAAGAGACTTGTTAACATTAAATCATTGTTAAGATTAAAGCTAAATTTTTGCGATTGCATATCCGGTTACCAAGTAACGATGATCGGGATCGTGGCAGTAAGAGATGGCGACGTGACCAAGATTGTGAAGGTCCCCGTAGACGTTCTGATTGGGCGACAGGATGCTGGCCTCCATAATATTACCGAGCACGTCCACGCCGCCGAACTCGGTCAAAGGCACCCTCTCACCTCGGGGTTGATGTAAGCACCGGTGTGAATGGCCTCGTAGATCCGATCGCGCCATCTCTCCAGATCTTGAAGGTCGAAGTTAAGTTGGTCCACGGGCCGGTTGATATCCTTGAGGACGGCGCCGGCCGGACGAGCGGGCCAGGTACGACTGGCCACTAACGAGTCCAACTTGGAGAAATAACCCTCCGGGATCGGCTCGCGCCAATTGTGGAAGCGCTTCACTCGGCCCAATCGGTTGCACAGACGTTCGATATTGTATCTGCGAAAAAAGAAATCAGGCGGAACGCAGAATAATAACGGCAGGGGCCACGAAATTCCCTCGGGCGATCTATCCGCGAATGTTCGACCGACATAAATTACTTTTGTAATAGCAAAAAAAAGGGGAGGAGATCGTTATATACGATATAGAAAGCTATACGCTTTCTTATCGATAAAAAGGTAGCTTTTTAAATAGTTAATAATAATAGTTGGATTAAAAAAGAATTTTTTCACGGATAGCTAGAGGCTACTGCGTGTTAAAAGGTAATAAATCTCAAAGTTGAACATAATTTCTCTTTACACGAGATTACCTTTATAATGTGCTTTTTAATTTCGCCGAAGCACTTTAACAGACGTACGAGTTACTTCTCGAATTAGCCGCGTAACACACAAGTTTCCTCCGATGATTCCGACGCGTAAATGCATTCCGAAGCCCGTTGGTAAACATTACTGGAATACCATACCAGATTCGAGACAAGTTTCCGCATGGTAATAACGATCGAGATCAGAATTTGATCCTTTGCCGTTCGCGTGATCTCGCATCGCGCCACGGTATTCAATCTTATCGACTTACCTAGCTTGGATCTGATGATGCATATAGTAGAACAGCTCGCCACGTCGATCCTTGTTAACAATCCTTATGTCAGTCTCGAACGGATAGACCAGATGCCAGTGCCAATGATGAAGATTGAGCCCGATATCTTCCCTCCAATAAGCCACCCGATGCTCCTCGTCGAGATCCGATGCGGTATAATCTCGCGGAATTTCGATAGGCAACTATGGATTACACACGAATAGACAATAGAATGATAAAATCATGTAATTTTTCATTGTTCGAAGATTGACACAAAGCGGTTCGACTATTTTTCAAATTTTCTGCGTTACAATAATTTATATTATTGTAATTTTTTGTTAATATTGGAACACAAATCTAATAAAATATATAAATTTAATTTCAGAAAATTGAAATTTCTAAACATTCATCTAACAATCCATTAATGATTAAACTATAATGGATTATGCGTTTATTCGCAAACTTGTTTGTTAAAAAGTATAATCAAACGTGCCTTGTCCCACGATACTTCTCCCTTAGCTTAACAAAGCGAAAAGCGGAAAGAAAGTTTTGTCGCATTTTATTTCGCAATTACTCGATTTGTACTCAAAGAATAAGCTGGCCGGTTAATTAAGCCATATAATCGAGTAAACGGGCTTGTTGGTAATTAATGCGTCAGCGAGCAAGTGCATTGTACCCTGGAGCCAGCTGGTACAACGTTGGCTTCCTCCCTCGCTCTGGCAAATATCCCGCTGTCGATGTACTTGTCCGGGAAAATTTCCGACAGCGGTGGTATCGGCAGATCCTTGGTATCAGGACGATGCAGGATCGCCACCGAGAGCGCGTAGACGAACATCTCGGGATTAATGCGATCGCGACAGTAAACGGACACCGAAAGGAAGTCCTCGTAGGTGCGCATACCTGTATAAAGACGTATCAATTGATTTCGTGAAAACATATGAAACAGTGATGGCAACAAAATCGGGTTTTTCGCCCATTTTATGAACTCGAATTTTTGGACCTCAAATTTCAAACTTTTTTTTATGCCAAATAGTACTGTATGATAAAACATTAATCTCAGAAAAATTTGAAGATGAGCATAGACACGGTTCCGGAGATATAAAAAAGTGAAAGTGATAGTTTCTCATACATCCTGACTAGAAATTATCATTTTCACCTCCTTGTAATGAAATTTGCCGTCACTCTTTTCGAACAAAACAAATTTATTGCCACGAGGTAATTGAACGATTAAATTATATGTAAATAAAATAAGAGGATTAAAAATAAAGTCGCGGAAACGAACCCAAAAAGATGTCGATAAGTCGCGCAGCTATTTTTCGATGTTTGGGGATGAAAAGAGAGAAGGGCTCTCGACGTCCAAGTTGAAGGGGAACACTCAAATCCGGCAGACTGATCTGTTTCACTCGAACTTTCGATGCGGTATCTTCAGCGAAACGATTAAATACCTCGGGAGCCATTTGCTGCCGATTTTCAGGCTGTAAATTCATTCGGAAAAACGAAATTTAGACTCAAGAGAGAGAAAAAATCGTTACATATAGAAAAAGAATTTAATAATATTAATGAAGAAATATTCAAGACTCTTTCTTTGTTTAAATAAAATTCTATAAAAATAAATTTAATAATACAGACTGTTTTATAAAAATTTTGATAATTTTTAAAAAATTTTCAAAATATCGCTTATGATGATAAAAAGAGGAGGAGGAAGAAAAGATAACTAAAGCGCAATTTAATTTTAACATGCAACCAAAAGCTATAAAATTACATAACATAACATCAAATTTAAATTACAAAATTCAACGTTATTTATGGAACAAGAATGTTAAACAAGATCGGACTTACCAGGTAGGTAGCTGGTACTTGGAAAGCGACTTTGTTCTCTCCCTTGGGCACGTACACCGGCTCTGCGGGTCGATCAAACAGGTATAAGATGTCCGATTTCTTGCTCTCCGACATGTTGATTGTCAACAAGTGTATGCGATCTAACTCGAGAGGGAAAAGGATCGATGATCACGCGACGCGTAAGCTGGGAATCGTTGTCGAAGCTTGATAGCACGAGAATAAGGATCGTTGCTCGTTGTTCCTGAGAACACAACGGGTCTTTAACCGAGTGTCTTGATGTCGTGAATTTATAGGAGAATCGCGAAGGATATGGCGGTTTATCGGCGATAAACACGATCGCGCTTTCGAGTGACCGCAGGATCCGTTCAGGAAGTAGTACGAGACAGTTTAGAAGGACGGTACCGAAGAAACGACAAAGCGCTTAAACCAAATCCTGTGCACAGATTTTCCTGTTTACGAAAGAAATCGACGGCAATTAAAGTTGCAATAATCACGTGAACTCGAAAACAATGTGTCAAAGACCGACATATTATTTTATCGCAAAAATCTAATTTTCTCATATTAATCATTATATTTTGTACAAAATATGAAATATTTATATATAAACATATATTTCAAATTAAGGTAGAATATGTATTTGTTTATAATTGTCGCAGACATAAATCGCAACAAGCAAATTAGTTATATATGAATTTAAACATCATTTATTCATGAAAGAACAGTAAGCTATCGAGATTATCCTGTTTATTGGCATGCAATTATTATCATTCGATACGACATAATTTATAATCTAGTTAAATAATTGACAATTGTTTAATTAAATTTTTAATCGATTTTTAATTAATGCACATATCTATATATAAACTCTATTATTAGATATAGAGATACTCATTAATAAAATAGATCATAACAAAATTATTATAAAAGATGTAAAAACTCTGAAGTCATCAGATGAAAATTAAAAATGGTAGTAATTTAATCAACCAACTCTGGCAAATTAAGTAATATTTATTTAATATTCACGACGTTTCGGCCATGGGTTTCGGCCCTTATCAAGTGCTAACACATAACTTTTTATATAAAAAAACCTTAATCTTTGATCTTAGAATGTGACAAGATATAATGTGAAACAATTAACTGTGTAAAATTATTATAGTATATATTATAGTTTTTAAGAAAAAAGGCCGGATAAGATGAAAAATTGAGGAATAGATAGGCGAGGAATATATTGTTTTAATCTTAATTCAATTATACTTAACAGATATGTGCAAGTGTCCTTTATTGACTGTGCTTTTACATTTTGTTCATCTCGTTTCGAGAGTCTCTATCCTCTCGACACGCCGATATGTACTCGTGAAGAGAATGATGACATCCCGCACGTTTACAGCCGCAGATACTAAAAACTAAAAACGAGGTTGCACGGAAATTTTATTATATCATACAATATATTTTTGCAAATACAAGATATAATATATATGTATTTAAGGATACATTAAAAATTATTTTCAAAATTTACAGGGCGTTGCATACATTAAACTAACATTGCTACAAAGCCATAATAAATGTTCAGAGACCGAATTAAAGAGAATATTGTTTGTTTCAGTATCGAAGTGTTAAAAATTTTCAAGTTATAAACGACAATATTTTTAGTACACCCTGTATCTTAAACATAAGATATAGAAGAATTTATATATATTGTATATATAGTATCGGCCATAAAATAATAGTAAAAAGAAAATTACATATAAAGCAGTATATATTTCTTTGATTTTTATAAATTTTTTTTTTATGAGAAATACTATAATATAGTCATGTTATTAATAAAATACAAATATTTATGATTATAATAATGATAAAATCCTTTTCTTATTTGCATACTATAACTAATAAATATATGCATACCTGTATATATATATATATATATATATATATATATATATATATATATACAGATATACATATATATTTTATATATCTGACAGTGCGTAATTTTCAATATTAGATTGCATGAAATTCGAAGAGCAGGAAATGGAAAGGAAAAATAAGAAAAATAATAAGAAACTGCAACATATACATATATACTAGCAGCACTCTCGTTTCCCTCCGATCTTTATTTCCAGAATCTCGTTGCCTAATAATTTATTAAATCCACAATCACAATGTGAATATAATGCTGGCGCGTAATGTATTCGCATTTGTACTGATATCGATAATCATGCAATTCCCTTCAAAATGTCAAGGGAATAAGAAATGTCACTATCTCCCAATGGAACGTCTCGCAAGTACGTTCCAATGATAAAATCGATATGATAATTATCAGGATAATCTAGGCAATGAGTCCGATTGCTACATCTTGTTAGAATAGAAGGAGAGAGAGAGAGAGAGAGAGAGAGAGAGAGAGAGAGAAACAAAATAAAATAAATTTTATTCTGTTCTCTAGAGCTTCCGAAAACTTAACACGAGAAAAATTCACGTCGAAGATAGTTAAAGTAAGATATATTAAAATAAGATTTTATTTTTAACTCATCTTGAAGCGAAAAAAAATATTGATTAACGAAAATAAAATAGAATTAAATAACGAGATAGCAGACTATTGTTGATTGCTAACATTAGATTAAAAATATAGGAAATATAAAATCGTAATACGTGAAGTTTATTTCAAGAATATAATCTTCGGCAAGTAAGATCGATTCTTAGCAAGAATTTGATTGGACATCTCCTTTTATAAAATTTTTAAAATCCAATATTTCTTGATAAAAACAATCAAGTCTCGAATTAAAAGTTGCCGAAGCTCTCTACAAGGTGTCTCAAAATTAATAGCAAACCTTTTAATGGCAGATTCCTGGGATCATTTGGAGACGATTTTTTCTCAGCAAAAATGTCGAGAGAAACCATCCTTTTTTGCATGTTCCCAATTTTTGCCATCATGTATCTTCGTAATTAGATCTTAAATTAAAATTCTATTCAAATAAACTCTACATGAAATTAATAAAAAAATGTAATTTTATTAATATTTTATTTTCACAAAGCTTAGTTTGCGTAAAACCCCTCATTTTCAATCGCTTATAACTTGAAAATTATTGATGTCTCGACATTTTCATTGAGGAGAAAAATCATTTCCAAATAATCTCAGGAATTTGCCATTAAAAGGTTTACTATTAATTTGGTGACATCCTGTAGCCCGGAAGGCTCCAATTTGCGAAAATGCTAGCCATATTGTCAATCTTTATGATTCGAAGTCGCTTTCATTACGAGAAGATTGACTCGAAATTTCCGCAAGATTCATCCCTTTGGGGTGCCTTTCTCGCGTACAATTATACCATATATATATATCATACATGCATAACAGACGTAAGAGTTAGAGGAGAAAGGAGGAGAGGGAGTCTAACGTGAGAAATGACGCACTCGCGGGAGATGCTGTGACACCAGGAAGCCGCCGGGAGAGACGTTCACCGTTCCGCGACAGCTTGATCGGCGGCGTCGCGCCTTCTCCTTCTGCTTCTCTTCCGTCGTCTGCCTCTTCTCCGTCTCCTCGCAGATCTGTCCGGGTCGCCGTCGACGACGGCGTCCCTGCGACCGCGGAACAGCTGCGAGGTGTACGGCGAGCCTTGACTCGGCTGCTCGCATCGCGGATCGTGACAGTCCACCAGCAGTCGCGAGTCGCCGATCCATTTGCCGTGACAGGTGGAACTGGCCGATCGACCGCGCCGATTTTTCAAGCCATCGGCGATATCGGTTGACAGCTTCCACCTGCCGATCCCCACGTATCGGTCCAGACTCTCGTTACCGGGATGTTCCACGCAGATCCGCGAACCTGCGACGATTTTAGATACTTTTGCTCCAATATTTTATGCAGTACTTTTTATTGCAGTTTCCTACATATGCCGTTTTCATTACAATTATACGCCCTCGCGTACGCGTTGTTTGTTGCGGAAAAAAGTGTTTTTATTACTAAAATGCTTTTAGGCACTTACTTCGGTTTTTAATATTGTACATAGTGTTGGCAAGAAAAAGTCAAAATTAATTAATTGTAAGCTCGTGTGTAGTAATTAGTTTCCTAGCAATCATTCTTTTAGTTAATTTTTTAATTAATTAATTTTTTAATGAAACATACTATAAAACATACTACACTAAAATAAAAAATGTATTGAATTCGAAGTAAATATTTATTTCAATACTAATAAATCATTTATTTGAAACTAATAATATTGATTTGATGTAAAAATATTTGTTCGATATAAGAAAATCCTTTTCAAAGCAGAAAGCTATTTATTTGTTTCAAATAAATGATTGATTAGGCAGTATTGAAATAAATCGGTTTAGCCTCTATTAATAAGTTTGATAAGAAGAGTGGAATGCGATTAAAGAGATGAAAATAAAGTGGGAGAAACAAGACGGCTAATTTTGGTAACGATACAAAGATAATAAGCCATCATCGTGAAAATAACTTTGCTTTTGTCCGCAAATTTCCGCGGCCGTGTCTTATCTGCGTCGTTTGGTAGGAAACAACCGTTATCTCCGCCACCGCATCCACTTCATCCGGTCGATTCCTTCGCGATAACAGCCGTCGTAGAGTAGCGTCGCGGAAGCTACGCTCTAATTTACATGACGTTACGTCGCGCAGCCACGTTAATTGAGACTAGATCGAGTCGCTTCATTTCCACGTTGGCGGCCTGATTCATCATTATGCGAATTACGTATTCAGATTTTGAGTAGTTTAGGTTTAGACTCCCTTAAAAGCTCACCTTATTAAATGCAATTCTAGATAAGAGATCTCGTTTCTTTCCTTGTAGAAAACGCGCGTACAGAATATTTTTTTTTTTTTTGCAAATACAAAATAGCAGATTTTTCATTGTTTTACGTGTGTCATTAAAATATTCAGCATAGAAACGTTTGATTTGTGCTGTTCTGCAAAAAATATAATTATGTAGTTTTTAACGAATGCTTAGTTGCAGTGAAAAACTTGAAACTTCAAATTACGTAAAAAGAGGACAATATTTTGTTGAAAAAGTGTTTGTTTAAAAAAGTTTGTAAAATATTTCGTTTAAAATGCCTAGTTTTTCTATAATATACATACTTAGAAATATGTAAATGCGTGCAAACGCATAATCTCTCTCAAGTCTCGTACGTCACGTAAATGAGAATATCAAAAAGTTGAAATTAATATTAGAAGTTTAAAATTCTCACGAGGCATGTGCTGACTACAGAATCTTGTTTTTTATCATAATGTCGGTCTGCTGAGTGCAGAGATGTTCACGTGGAACGATAATTTTTCTCTTGAAGCGTAATCCCACTATGAAATGCGAACCATTTTTTGTGAGAGGACAAAGGTCTATTGTCTCTTCGAAGCATTATAGTTACAAGAACTTGAAGAATGTTAAGTCTCAAAGATGGCTGGTACGCATCATTGCTTTTCTTTTCCACGAGGAAATATATACTTAAGAATATATACTTTGTTTTTAAAATAAACCCTGTAATTTTACTAAACGCCTGACTTTGTTTATCCTTGACGTGAAGAAACAGCTCAAAGTTTCCGATTTCTTACAACGTTTAAAAAAAAGAGAACACGTAGATTTATATGGAATATTTAAAATTATAAAAAAATTGTGGAAATTTTCATCACATAGAATGAATATTTTAAAATATTTAAAAAATAATTTTTAAACTAGAAAAAGTTGTACCTCAGAATTATACAATAACATAATTCGCAAACATTACGATTGTTTGTTTGTTACAACGTTTGTTCATCATTATATATCTATATATGGAACTATAAATGTTTTAACAAAGAACGATAACAAAAATTATAAAACAAAATAACACGTTATGGAAGTTTATCCTGAGGCATTTTCTTCAGTTTAATAATCAAAATATAAAAATGAGATATTTTTTAAAATTAGAATTATTATTTTCATATTATTGAAAATAAACATAAGATAAACTTTTAATAATTTAAGAATACTTTTATAAAATAATGTGCCAGCTTCATAAATAAAAATAACAATCGTAAATGGATTCGACTTTCACAGCAATTTATGATTTATAACTCAATACAAAATTGAAAATCCATCAATAACGTCGAAAATTGAAAATAGGTTAAATAATAAACAGATAAATTATGTACATTTAAATTCTAAAAAAGAAATAATAATAAATCTCAATTTTGTCACGAAATTTAGAGAACGCACATAATTTATGAAATATTTTCACATAAGTCCTCATATCTCGATAATTGAAAATAAAATCTTCGATATAATGAAAATAAAATTCTATTAATATATATTCCTGATTCTTACCGCAATATGTGAGTATAATATTACTTATACCAACCTTCCGAGAGCAAACCCGAAATTTTACTGCAACCCTGCGAGACGCGTACAATAGTGAAAGCAACGCAGCTGCCTCTGAAACGTGTATAACATCGCATTATACATATTGTAGATTGTAAACCGCGGAACGAGTTCTATCATATGCTTTCTTTTTAACCAACATGTAATGGTCCAAAAGATTCCGTTGCCTGCTAACGGTCCTGTAACTTGCTTTACTTGTTCGACAACATGACCGAAGAGATACGTCTGCGACACGACGATGATATTCGCTACGTGTTTTGTGACAAATTGGAGCACGTGTCAAATTAGATTCTCAGGGACACATTGTCAATTCTATCTTCTAGTTACAATGAAAATGGAATTAAAAATATATATCTTTCGAAAAGTTTCAAGAGAAACCTTTTAACGTGATGGAATTCTTATGTCTGTATGATTGCGAAGATAACTTTGAAAATTAAAAGTAAATTAATTAATTCAATTAATCTGTTACGCGCAAACTACTCTACGTTATCAATAATAATACATATATATATATATATATATATATAAACCGCAATTGAAGACTATTAATTTATAACACAGAATAAAAGATAAATTATTATTGCATATGAATAGATTAAAAACCATATTTCCTTGCGAATGAGATCATTCATTTAATTAGATATATAGCTCGAGAGAAGTAAAAACAAGTAATCTCTATTATAATGAAGAATAGCAGTGTCCACGCGAAAGAAATATAAATTGTCCGCTTTAATTTTCTCACGAATCCTATCTTATCTATTTTTACGATGCACCACCGATCGAGAAAACAGCATTGTTTCTGTTGCTCGAATTGGGAACACGTGTGGCAAATCGTATTTCGCACGAACCACCAAAGCTAAGCACGGGGGCTTGACCTACCTACCTTTTATCGACAATTCTATCCTTGATCCTTACGTCCGTACTATTCCCGTCGCCCGGAAAGAGCGCAAGAAGCGTCACACCTGCGGCAAATGAAAGAAAATTGTCTAGGATCAAGAAACAGTCGATACTAGATGTCAAGAATTTCGCGTCGCGTAAATACGTGATCGGGGATAAATCGTGTCTGTTCGTAAATTTAAAAGAGGAAGATGTCGCGGGCATGTTTGTGTAGAGATTGCAATGGCAAATGCAAGCAGGAAGAAATCATTTAGTTTTCTTTCTTCAATTTATTAGCTAGCAATATCAATTCCACCGGAGCCGTAATATAATTATTACAAAAAATTAATTTTTAATTTTGCGAATAAAAGAATTAATTGTTAATTTTGTTAATTTTTATTTCATTGTTTTAGAGAAGCACATTCCCCTTAAATGAAAAATGCGACTTATCTCCGCCATCTCGTATCAGCACTCACTTTTCGCGTGCGGTTGCAAACGAATTCCGGCGTGGCATGCCTGGAAGCTACGGCAAGTCCTGACTTGATCCAAACGAGGACAGTGCTTCCCGCCATTCTTCTCCGAGATCTCGATCACCCGGCTGCGTCTTTGAGTGCCACTTCCGCATCCGTTATCGCATTGACTCCACGGACCCCATTGGCTCACCGCGCAGTCCACCACTGTAAGGGTTGAATGGAGTTTGGCGTCTAAGATCTGGCCATCTAGTCGTTTATCGAACGATAAAATTGTCCCGAAATTGCCAAACCGATAGCGGACTATTCGGAAAATGCCGTTCCATTCAAACTCGCTCTTTAAGTTTCGCATTTTCAAATAATTAACTCTCTTCTTCTGTATCCCTTTCTCTCTTTTTCTAGCAATACACACCACGCGATTACATTATTTTATATACGAGATATAATTTTTTCAAATACAATTACAATACAATAGCGTGGAAATATGTGCATGCTTCGATGGAAGTCAAAGGGTCGACCGCGTTATTTTCCCGATATTTTATGCCATCTATAAAAGGCAGCTCGCAGGAATAGCGATTTATGAACGTCCCTTCGAAACGTTCCAATGCTGCGTGCATTGTTCACGTCACTCTCTGCTATATCGCCGAGAAAACGGGAGGGCATTAAAGGAGGATAAAAATGCGATAAATGTGTCAGCAATCACTGATACTTTTTGCCATTAAAATATACGCCGAGTACGCGAGATGAAAATTTATTCAATTTTGCCGTTCCATTTTGCGCGAAATATGCGTGTATCGGAACCATTATCGCGACATTTTAAAAATTGAAACGCTCGACGTGTTTATAGTAACGGTGTTAATCAAGCGTTTCGGCTGAAATATTGAGCAGTAATTATTTCGCGTCAAATTTTTAACGACTATCTAAAACGAGAGAACCGGCCAATTAGACCGGAGTGATATCTAACCTTCTGTTGAATGCGGAAAATTTATTTTATGCTTCTAACAAATATTTCTGTTTTATAATAGAACATCATTAAGCAGGCTTGAAAAAGCAATTAGGGAACAGTATTTCGAATAAATAATAAGATCTTGTTCTTTTCATATCGAGAGAAGATATAGGAAAGAGGGCTTTGAAGACTTTCACAGCAGAAGTGTATCACAAATGAGGCACATAATAAGAACATTGAAACAATAATATGCGTATCACGAGAGAGAGAAAGAGAGAATAAAATTAATAACGATATAAAACTATAAAGTCATCAGATGATAATTAAAAAATGGTAATGATTCAATCGACCAACTCTGGCAAATAAATAATTTTATTGAATTTTCACAACGTTTCGACCGTGGGTTTCGGCCCTTATCAAGTGCTGTAATATAACATTAATAATTATTAGAAAAATAAAAATAATAAAATATATAGAAATAATGCGAATTTATTTCGTTTTCTGTACTATCATGTTATTATATCATGTCATATTCTAAGATCGAATTTTTGTTTTTTAAAAAAGTTGTGATTTATTTTGTTTTAAGAACATAGGTATATTTGCGTATTAACGTGTGAAAGTTTCTATATATTTTATTATTTTTATTTTTCTAATAATTATTAATGTTATATTACAGCACTTGATAAGGGCCAAAACCCACGGCTGAAACGTTTTGAAAATTCAATAAAATTACTTATTTGCCAGAGTTGGTCGATTAAATCATTACTATTTTTTAATAAAATTAAATTAAATATTTCATACAACTTTGCATGCGCATTTAGAGCATATAATTATATATGATAGATTCTACCGTATTAATATAATCACATTTGTATTTTTCACGCATACGTAAATTGATGTATTAATATATTTATTAACATATTTTCACACATACACACACACACACACACACAATATTTTCCCGCGTAGCATTTTCATTTTCTCCCGTTTGCAATTAATGATAATTTATTATGCGATCGATTTATAGCAGACACTCATAAATATGATAGAACATTTTATATAGACACGGGCGGCGATGCTTTTTAGCTAGTTCTATTTTATATAGAACCGATATTATATTATACAGCATATACGAAATTGTGCGATAAAATTGGAACTGCGAAATTTTGCATTAGGCTATTGCCGGAAATGCCAAATAGAGCAAGGTATATATGTAATAACTTATTTATTAATTCCTGTTTTATGGTTATTCAATGTTAGAGAGTGGCCCATCTGGCCCACCAAACCTGATCACTACCAGGACACGGTTATATCGATCGATTGTGTACTCGAACTAAATTATTTCGCTTGCCCGCCGGTTCGCTGAATGCGAATGGTCGAATGACATAGGTACGTGATGTTGGAAGTTTATCGAACCAGACAGAGCGGATAGATAATGCTTCTGTGATCGTTTCTGATTCGTGTTAATTTACGTAAGATGATGTCAACTGACATTATATGCTCGAAATTTCACGTGTTATATCATTCGCGTCAAACGAAACCAATCAAACTTAGTCTGCCGAAATGATGATTTCTCAAAGTTATAAAAATATTATCAAGCATAATAGAACACTCGGCGCGATTATTTTGCATCGTGCTCCAGTTTTTTGCAGTTTTCTAAAATGTTTTATGTTACTCTTAAAAGGCAATTTTAATATCATATTTTATCATATTTTCTTAGTGCGTTATTATAAAAATGATGAAAAAGCTATACCTACTGTGAATTCTTGTTAAAAATGGGAAATATAGAGAGAGATTATGCGTAAATATTCTTTTTGTATAATTTCTTTTACATTTCTTTTTACATTTCATTTGATATGAATGCAATATAAGTACATCTTTTGATTTCGTATAAAATATTGAAATTCGCGTCTCGTCTCAAGCTTACACGAGATGAGAATGGAAGTAAGATTATCTCTTGTGGACGAACGACTTTGTGCTATTCGAAAAATGATTTCACTCGCAAGTACTAAAGCGTTACATCTTCAAGTAGAGGTACTTTTTCGTCAGGTGAGCGTGATAATCGCGTTCCGGCGCAGCTTCAGCTTTGGCGAATATCGAAGCTTCAGAAGAAATCTCTCGGAATATGATATTAAAGATGAACATTTCAGACGCGGATTGGAAAGCACATGGGACGAAATTGCAATAAAATGATTTTTATCGTCGATAAATGCTACTGCTTTTCCCCCACTCATTCCATAATTGATGCATGATAAATTATAGGCGTGTGACCGCGGTTTTTATTTAGTTTTGTTACTATTGTTTAGCGGACAATTTATACGTGCGTTAATCGATTACTTGGCAATTAAACTGGTAACGCATAGCCATGTTAAATGAACGGAAATGTGAATCGAGTGACATTAATCCTTTTGTTACTAACAAGCGCTTTATTCAAGTGACCAATAAAAATTCAAACAATTTGAGACAACTGCGCGGCAATATAGTAGGATAGCTCGACTGTCCATTATACAATGTGTAACAAAACAGTAACAGTAGTTGTTGTTGACGGCACAAACAATTACACACACTAACCACAATTCTAAAAAATAGTCAAGAAATTACGGCAAAAAAAGAATACAATGAAATATCGCATTGTATGTGTGAGGTAGGAAAGTTCAATTTTTTTTAACTTAATTATTCTAATATTTAACCTAACACAAAAAAGTAAGCAAAGCCGGAAGATTGAAATTACGTTAGCGACTGTAAGATATTGCAAAGAGCAAAAAATTTAAGTAAATGCCTATTATGTTAAATCTGTAGAATATAACAATGAAGATTTTGTCTATAAATTACAGAGTAAGTTTGCGAAGAGATTCCACTCTTTTATGCTTTGTCAGAACTGACCCGTTGGGTAGAACGTTATCAGCTTTACTTAAGGCAATACAGCGGTAATAATTCTTCCGATCTCTGTATAAAAGCTGATTCTTTACGGACCATTTCTTCTAAATACGAAACACACATATACACACATAGATTCATATATATATATATATATAATAAATATTTATATATTTATTTATTTATTTATTTATTTATTTATTTATTTATTTATTTATTTATTTATGTTTGTTTTTGATATTCAATCTTTTGTAAATTAATTTTTAATTTTAATAGATAAGTGACTTTTACAAAAATTTAATATTTTTAATATTTCTTATTAGATTTAATTTATTTAATATTTCTTATCAGATTTTGCGATACTTTATGCATTGATAACAACACGATATACAATACATGATAAGAAGTATTAAATGAGATGCTTGAAATACTTTATATGTATATACAAAATATAATAAATTTATACGAGAGTATATTGATTCCTCTTGCAATATATCCATATATCAAATTGATAGTTGTGCTTCACTAAATTTTTATAGAATACTATTGTAGATATTTGTTGAAACGCATCACATCAGCATTTTTTGAGCGATATCATGTATGATTGTTTTGATCAAACAATTCGATTGAAAGCAGATATTGGTTTTAAAGTGTAGAATAAAAAAAATAAATCACATTTTTTTTTATCACTTTGTTTTTAGTTGATATATTGATATTGAAAAGAAATGGATTCTCTAAATAGTAAAAAAAGTAATAAAAAATTTACACGTATGTAAATAAAGTTTTCCATCAACAAAGCTTTTTTTTAGGTGAAGAAGAACGCAAATAATGTTATTAAAAACTTAAAAGTTGATTGTAAATTATTAGGTAATTTGAAGTGACCGTGACCGAGCTTCTAAAATAGATATGCGGGATATACGGTTTTAAGATCTATAGTATAATCCTACAAAATCCGGAATGTTTAAGTATGTACTTAACAAGAATTGACCCATAAGTAAAGACGGATTATATGCTTAATTAATCCATGTTCTCTACGTTATTTTCTTTTACGGATTAATTATTTCTTCGACGTTTTTTTTGATTAATTTATATGTCTATACTTGATTTATATATGTCGATACCTTTTATTTGTTCTGATTTTATATCAGGTTTCTACCACAAATAACTATTAAGATTTTATAATTGACAGATCGGACATTGAATTATTCGACATGCTATAAAAGTAATATAACTTACTTATATTAATAATAAGCACATCTTTTAACAGCAACAATATAATATACATAATTTTTTTATATTTGCAATAAATGATTTTTAAAAAAACTTTACATGTTTGCAGATATATACGATTATTCATTTTATTTCTCGCAAAGAATATAATGTATTTAGAGTGCTAGTTTTTACTTTAAATGGAAAAAGGAAATTGAATTGAACTAAAAAACAAATCACGGAATAATTACAAAAAAATTATATAATATAAAACAAATGTATGTAATCACATTAATAATTCATAAAAAATTCTTCGATTCTGAACAACCAAATGATTTATCTCTTTTATAAAGGATCATTGAATTATCATGAATCTTCTTTTTGGCAAAAAAAAACTCATCTATCGCTTTATAAATAAAATTTCTTCGGGAACCTACCACCGCAGGTCTCTTTGAAGTCGTCGCAACAATCGGCGAGCTTGAGGCAAGCATGATCGCAGTAACACGGTTTATCGCGCGGGCTCTCGATAATCGCGTTCGGCGACTCCTTCTGGATGACGCAGCCGGAGTCTCTGCCCTGACAGCAGAGCTTCGCGGAGCTGCAGCTTCCGGCGTCGGTCAAAGAAATCAACGTGGCGACAACGACGAGGATCGACCCGGCCGACGTCGCGTCCTTCTTCCACATTCTCCTCGCGATTCCGCGACCCTGACGACCTTGCTCTCACCGCAACGACCTTGATCGTTTCTTAGCGGACGTGGAAACGCACCGCCGCGCGACCTTGACGTTATGACACTTTCCTCGGCTCACTTTAAAGCGCGCGATCGATCGTCGACATATCGATATCTATCCCGCTTCCCCAGATATATCGCAGCCTAATCTCTCGGGGAGGATGTCCTTCAGATTTTAACGAGATTCATGTTCCAGAGATTGCATTGTTACTGACTTATTGACCAAAATCACAAATCAGTCCTTTGGAAACACACTTGCATACAAGTTTCTACAAAGTTAACTTTTTTACATCGCGGGATTTTCAATCAAAATAATGATCGAATCCTTCTTTTTAATGAATCAATTAATTGAAATAAAGAATAATAATGTTGTCTTTAGCTAACATGTTATATTTATTGTCGGATCGTGCCGAGGGTTAAAAAAATAAAAATAAGGAATGCCCTAGGAACACTTTGCGACGCGCATCGGTTTGAATCCTTTTTCGCGGCGACGTTGCAGAAACCACCCTTCGGTGGACCGTGTCGCGATCAAACTGAGCGTTTCAACCCCGCGAGAAGAACATAACCAGACGCGCACTATGTTGCGCCTTGTGCCGACTCGTCGTCCTTGGTTTTCGTGCTCTCGGCGCACCTCCCACGGGAACCGCAGCAGCCGTCGCCTACCTGGGCGCATGCCCGCTACTATCCTCACGGGATACCAGACGATTTAGTACCTGCAGCTTTTAATGGAATTTAAAGGCCAACAATTCGCGCGTACCGTATATAACGGGAACGTATATACGGACCTTCCCGAAACCATCGGACGTCTTCTTATATTACAAGTTCGTTAGGAGAAACGAAAGTTATTTCGACGAGAATGTGAGACGAGAACACATTCGTTGTTCCGCTATTTATTTATATATTTTTTATTACGTAAGAATTATGTCAGAAATAGCAAGTGTTATTTTCGACATTCTTACGTAATAAAAAATGTATAAATAAATAGCGGAACAACGAATGTGCGTTCTCGTCTCAATTCTCGTTCGAATAACTTTCGTTTCTTCTAACGAACTTGTAATATAAAAAGACGTCCGATGGTTTATGTCAATAGCAAGTGCTATTTTTGACATTTTACGTAATAAAAAATGTATAAATAAATAGCGGAACAACGAATGTGTTCTCGTCTCATATTCTCGTTCGAATAACTTTCGTTTCTCCTAACGAACTTGTAATATAAGAAGACGTCCGATGGTTTATGTCAGAAATAGCAAGTGCTATTTTCGACATAATTCTTACGTAGTAAAAAATGTATAAATTAAATTACATTTGTAAAAAATGTATAAATTAATTAAAGTGTAGATATTTGAGAATCGTCAGACAGGATTTTAAAAAAAGTAACAATCTTCTCTCGACCGTGATATGCAAAAGTAAAATTATAATTTTAAGATGTCAAAAAAAACAAAACATAGTGTCGGTTTGACAACACGTCAAGAATCTTTGACGAGTTATGAGAGACTACATAATAAGTTATTATTATGTATTATGAATTATGAGAGACATAATCTGAGAGAGAATGTTTCGTTTCTTTTGACATTTTAAAATTATAATTTTACTTTCGCAAATCACTTGATAAGGACTCAAACAAGGGTCGAAACGTTGTGATTGATTAATTAATAAACAATATTTGCTAGTACGGTCGAGAGAAGATTGTTACTTTTTTTGTATAAATTAATTTACACTTGGAAATTAATTTCCTCGATTTAATCGAGAAAATTATATAATGTATCGTATTATGACTTTTTTCGAACATCGGAATAGGACTAATTATTTCTTGTTTTTTAGATCCGAATTCGGTTTCCAAATTATTCCATCACGTCACAGTTTTAAGAAATTTTTAATTAAAGTTGCAAAAAGAGCTCTTCGCGAACTTTGTTATATTACAGTTACAATATGTGACATGCTTGAGAAGTTTTATTGCAATCAAAATAAAGTGTATTGTTAGGACTTTCAACCCCTAAAAGAAATTTTTAATGTCGGTTATTTTTAGCAATTTTAAAAATGTTGCAACTTTAAAAATTTCTCAAAATTGTGATGGGATTGAATAATTTGGAAACCAGATACGTTATTCAGCATCCACAAAACTATGAGAAACTATTAGTTTCGTTTCGATGTTCGAAAAAAGTCATTTTATGTTGAACCGTTGTTATTGATTTTATAGTCAGTAATTTTAATGAATCAAAGATCACGTTTTATTATTCGTTCGGATGCAGAGTTACAAAATTGAAAGATGCATCATCCACAAAGAGAGATATTTAATAAATTTTAAATGAAATTCCAAACTATAAAACTATTTAAAGTATCTTTCCACTTTGCATTAATATGTTATATGATTTATTTTGAAAGCAACATCACCACATATACAAAAAATATTTTCAATATTGATTTACTCTTTATCAGCTTATTATCAGTTATTAATCTTCTGTTACGAAACTTTTCCTACGTAACAAATAATCTAACATTGCATGAAATTTTAAAGAGAGGAGAGTATATATAAATGTTATGTACTCTTCCCTCGAGAGAGATGCACCACCAGTGCATCTTTCAATAATTGAACTGCATATATGCACAGAATCGATATATCTCTGGCATCCTCGTAGTAGAACACATTATAACATTAAAATAAAAAAATATTCTACTTACGAAGAAGCGAAAGAAAAACTTTTTCTAGAATGAGACAAATAAAAAAAAATTAATAATTTGAAAAATAGTTAATGTGAGTAATCCTGAAAGATGTTTCTGTTTGTAATAAACTTATCACCGGGATAGCGCGAACGCAGTCCCGACTATCAAAAATTGTACGCCCGAGATATCCACATTAGGGATATTCGCAAGGGTCAGCTCAGCCGTGGTGCAATGGAAGAGCCTCACCCTGGAGGAACCGCCTTTTTGATCACGGTAGCCTCTGCGCCAGGTAAGTATGCTTTCGTTCCGAGCGAGCCTCCATTTATCCCCATTCGGAACGTATTTTAAATACGAGTAATCGATTCATCGCTTGCGAAGCCTAGCGATGACTTTACGAACTACGGCGGACTCTGTCTCTCTATCGCAGTTCAGTTATCCTGTAAAGAGATTATTGATCTGTCATTTATTCGAAAAATATTTTACGTTTGTTTTACTTTTAATGTATGCGAAATTAATATACATGTAAAATATACTATATTTGTCTTTTTTATTATATTCAAAGTTACATTCTCATAATTTTTATGTTCTCTGTCATTTTAAATATTTCAAATGCAATTATTAGTCGCTGTACTCATTTAACATTTATTTAAATTTTAAACTGTTGAAAAATTATCTCTTAAATACAAATACAAATGAATTTTGAAAGATTAATTGTATCTTATATAAATGTATATTAAATTATTATTCATTACTTATTATTAAATCGCGGAATAAAATGTTTTTCTGAGAAAAAATGCTTGCCTAAAACGACATCAAAATATGTGAAAATGATAAAATAATTATTATATTACATATGAAAAATAATAATATCAATATGAGAGTTCTATCAATATTTTATTTAATAAATAAAAATTATTTATACATATTTTATATTTTATATAATTTTATTATATTATTATCTATTCTATAGATACCATTCGATCTTTATTATGAATATCATTTCTGAGATTTGTTTCATGTAATATCTTAACCCTTACCATTTATTAATTAAATATAAGTATATACATATATAATTAATAAATGGTTAAAAATACATGAA